TGCGGAGGGTGGCCTCGATCCCGCTGTCCATGTCGCTGACAGAGATGTTAAACAGCCCCAGGGGATGCCAACAGCCCCGGTCCCAGTACCAGCCCCTGGGGATCGCCGCTCCTCACTAGTCTCTGCTCTCTCCTTTTACGGAGAAAAAGCATTGTGGAAAGAAACACAAGCCACTCAGTGACTTTCATTTTTGAGCGGAGGCAGCGCAGGAGGAAACGTGGGGCAGGCTGGGATGCCGAGTGATGTTTTAATTTCATTTCCTGCAGGGTAACGCCCCTGGACAGAGCAGCCCACAGCCGAGCGGCTCCTGCCCCGCTCTGGCCTCTTTTCTGGCCTCCAGGTACAAGCATCTCCCAGAAAGCTGCAGATTCAATTTGTGTCCTGCCTTCCGCCCAGATCGGTTGTGGTTTTCACTGGGACTAAATCGGAGGTAAAAGCGTTGGGTGGGGGTTCAGAGCAGGGCCAGGTCTCATTTTGTCTGGGTGTTGAACTGGTGCTTTGGTTATTTTGCTTTCCCTGGTCTGAGACCTCCTGCCACCCCCAGGGATGGCGCTGCCATCGGGTCCCCAGTCAGTCCCGGGGCGAATGGGGACAGCCCCGCTCCACCTGCGTCTGGTCTGGGTTTCTCCTTCTTGTCCTGCCCCTTTCCGTCTCTTTTCTGTGGCTGGTTAAGAAAAGCGAGTCTCCCCGTTAGAACTACTGCCGCTTTTTCATGGAATTAGCAGAGGAGTTGCAGCCTGTATTTTGTTTTCCCATGGAAAAATCCTACAGCGTTTTATACCACTCAGGTACTTGGTATGTGCAGCACCCAGAAAAGTCAGTCTCATGATGGGAAAAGCAGTGTCAACCTTCCGCATCGGAGGCTCTTGCAATCAGCCATACACCACTTTAAAAGGGAATTACGATTTTTCTTTTTTTTTCTTATTCCCTTGTTTCTCCTCCATTTCACCCTTCCCCATCTCCAGGTTGCGCTCCAGAGAAGAGGATGCTCTCCGGTTCCCACCTCCACTCTCTGCCAGCGTTTATCTTTTGTGGTTTAGTCTTCCAAGTCCCCGAGCTGCGGGCAGGTAGGGATCCACGGGGGCTTGCTCATCCCTGGGGCTTTGCTTCCCTCCTGAATACCTGGCGCTGGGACCAGCAGGGTTTGGAGCAGGGTTAGACCCTTCCCCAGAAACTCTGTCAGCTCCTGAGAGCGCCAGCACCCCTCTGCATCCCAGTTTATGCCTCCGGCCATGTGAGCACAGGCACTGGCACAGCCTCGCCGAGCTCAGCTGAGATGATGCCAACAAGTCGATCAGAGTTTTCTGCCAGTTCCCTCCCTGTTTTCCCGGTGCCCAGCACATTCCCAGTGTGTCACCGCTTTACTGAGCTGTGTCCAGGGTGCACTGGACCCTTTGCAGAACCAATCCAATAAGGGGAAAAACAACCACAAAACAATCTGTTATGAAATACTCGAAGCTCTTTTGCTGTTGGATTGCTGACCTGGAGCAGCATCTTGGCAAAAGGATGCAGCAGGACAGCTGACTCGGAAGATACCTTGCCAGAAAGAAGTTGACTTTTGTTTTCCTTCGGCCAGAAACCACCTTCTCTGTGAGTTGAGTGGCCAGCTTATTAATAACCTTTTAAAAGACATTCCATTCTATTTTCTCTTGTAAGAGTTGTGAATAGCTGAGGCTGCTTGAGTTTGCACCCAAGTTGCAGCTTTGCCAGCCCAGCCCCCGACACCTCCC